GCCACATCATCATTTTTAAACGGATAGTAAACATTTCCGTTAAAAATTTTGACGGCGCGTACACAAATACCATCTTGGAGATTTAAAGTGTCAATATTGTCATATTGGAAGTTTAAATTGATAGTAAAATATTTTGGAGGTTTAAAGTGTAAGTGCTAACCACCTTGAAGGTTGTTTATGCGATTTTCCCGTATTAAAAGAGACTTGTTACAAATTTTGCTTTGGTCTCTTCTCCTCTGAAAGTAATACAATAGTTCTATACGAAAACTGTAATACTGCAGTTTAAAACTAAACTTATCTTCGTACGTAGCGATTCAGGTGTTTGTGAGAGGCGGCTAAATGCAATTGTTTCTTTGTAGAAAATAGCAGCCTTGGTAGTTACGAGTCGCTCTCACTTGGATAATATTGGATTCGATCATTTGACTAATCAATGTTAAGTTGTTAACATGTCAACAAAAAACAAAACAAAAACAGAAGACTAATCAATGTTGGCAAAACTGGCCCATGGATTTCGCCATTTTGGATTATTTAATATTATGCGTTAAAAATATTGATTACCAATCGATAGTTAAATCATTGTATAGAGTATTTTCAGTTTCAACCCTAAAATTGAGCTTCTAAAGAAGTAGAGATTAAATTTTCGTTATGACTGGTTGCAAATTTGCAATGTTATATGAGATGATATGAACTATTTGATGGTTTACTCCGGTTTGATCAATTCACGGGATTATGGTGGTTATCATCTGGTTTACTAAATCCAGAATATTCCACAGAAAATGCAAATACTCAAGACTGGTTTCTCACCTCCGTAACAGCAGGAATATATTCAAGTCAAATGTAGTTGTAATTAGTTGTAGATTTCTCTAGATTTTAGCCAAGTCTTTTGCTATATATGTATGTATTCGGATCTCAATCAATACACAGAAATATTCAGACTCTCTTTCTCTTTATGAACATATTTTATCTTTAGCCTTGATTTGTAAAAAAGTAAATATAAAGTTCCAAGACAATTCGATAAAAAAAATAAATGATTTTTTCGATC